GAGGAGGAGGAGGAGGAGGAGAGAGGAGGAGGAGGAGGAGGAGGAGGAGGAGGAGGAGGAGGAGGAAGAGGAGTAGAAGGAGGATGAGGAGGAGGAGGACGAGGAGGAGGAGAAGGAGGAGGAGGAGGGCGACTAGGACGACGACGAGGAGGAGGACGAGGAAGAGCAAGAGGACGAGGAGCAGGGGTTACTTTCTAGGCCCGTATGCCTTGCAGAAGGTTCGTGGTGCATGTTAATTGTGGGCCGCAACCATTTGGTTCAAGTTTTTTTTGCCTTCAGGGGCAACGGCTTGTATGATATCTTCATGGTGGCGGAGCCTGTGTTTCGCTCCACGGGTTCCACTGCGCGTGGTTAGCTCCTTGGAGCACTCGCTTCCCTGCAATGGCTGCGGCGGCATTCGCACTGGCTCCGCCGAGTCCTGGTGCATCCGACCCAGGTTTCGATGTACATCGTGATCGATGCTAATTACGAGAGCATGCATTTCAGGAGCGTTAGCACAGCGTTCAAGGCTAATCATGAAAGGGTGCTGCGGTTGTTCTTCGTGCGAAGTGCTACGCTAGGCACCACATTGGTTGGCGCTGGCGAGGATTCACACTTTTACGTATGAGGTGCAACATGAATGTCTTCTTACTATCAGCAATCACCCGCTTCATGTATTGCGAGGAACACTTGAACATCTGAAAGAGCACGCCAGGACGGGACTCCAGCGTCAGCCGAAAAGGTCCGGAACATGTTGCCAACGTCGCTAGGACCCTACAGTCACATGTAAACAACATGGCCGGAGGAGATGGAAACAAACCGTTGATCGAATACAAGGCGGCTCAACACTTCAAAGCTTTCCTGGTTGACTGGGCCAAGTTCAGAGAATGGGGCGAAAAGTTGTTGAACGGCTTGCCAAAGTGAAGCGTGGTTATCGAAACGCGCTGAGAGAGTTAGCAACGAACTGAAACCATGGATGCGGGCGTCGCCGAACGACGACGAGGGCGACGTGATAAACATGAATGGAGGTTGCGGTGAATGCCGAGGCGCCGCCCACCAAGAAACAACATGACGACGCAAACAGATAATATGTGTTAAAGACGATTTCGCCAGGGTGGACGAGGACCTCTGATATCTCGTCAAAAAGCAAGTTGGAGGGAAGGGACCCCCGAGGAATGCTGCAGGGCTTACATGACGACGACGGCTTCGTGGCCAACCTGAAGACGTACGAATTGGAATCGGCTTCTGTCCGAGTCGCGCTCCTATAAGAGGAACCTGGCCATGAATCCCGCGGCCCGCGGAGCCTAAACATGTGAGCGATGTGGCGTCCCAACTCGAACCATGAAGCGCATTGGTTGAGTGCCATGGCTTACGAATGTGATTGGCTCGCCGACAGGCATCGGGATTTTTCAAGTTGCGTCTTGACACAGGGCGAAGATTGAGCAGGGGAAGAATTGAACGACGACGCGAGAATCATCGATTCGAGTGCGATTTGCCATGTTAGCGATGCAGACATTGGTGAATGTCGCGCAGGCGTGAATGATTCTGGTCTTTATGACGAAAGCGGAAACTGCTGGACATGGAACATGGCAGACGCGGGCAGAAACGGCGACGCGAGAGAAGCGCGCAGAGGAAAAGGCAAGGGTACAAAGGGCACATGTGCAACGCGCGTGGAGTACTTGGGCGCGTTTCCGTAGACTGCGCCGCATCGGGAACCGCGGAGGGAAAATGCGGGGGGAAAGCGGGCGCAGAGGGCCCAGCGGTCACCGCAGAGGGCAGACAGGAGGATGCAAAGGGGAGTCTCAGGGCACCAAGGTTTGCCGCGGGGGTCGCGTCGCGGGGGGCTACGAAGGGGGCCCCCAGGAGGTTGCCGAGAGGTTGCCGAGCCTTTGGCTGGGCAGGGGGAGGCAAGGGAGGACCTGCGTCGGTCAGTGAGAGGGGGCGTTGCGAATGTGGCGAACAGGGTCATGTCGCAGCCCGCAGCCCCAAGAGCGCCAACGAGTTTACCCCTGGTCCAGGGGGGGCAGGGCGCCCAGGAGAGCCCGCGCAAGTGCGCGGGCAACCTACCGCCAGCTTGTGATTCACGCATCCGCGGGGGGCGCGCCTCTTAAGAAATAGCTCCCCTGCGCGGGCGATTCGCGGGGCGGCGCTCGCCGTGTTGGAGATAGCGGGGCGGCGCCAGTGATTGGCGCCGACGCCTGGCCGCCGACGAGGGGCAAGTGGGGGGCGTTTGGGGCGAGGGCGAGCTGGGGCGCCCCTCTTTCCGCCCAAGCGACGCGGGCCTGCGGGCAAGGCGGGCTGGGCGAAAGTGGGGCGCGGCAAAGGGGCGATTTGCCAAGCAGCTCGCGTCGCCGATCTCCCGGGCGCCTCCTGGCGCCGCAGCGCGCAGTCGCGCGTCTCCGAGGCCAGCGCGTATGTGCGACGCGCGGGCGCGGCGGAGTAGATTTGGCCCATGCCCGGGCTAGCTCTGGGCCAGACTTCGCGCCGGGATTGCGGGGGCCTGTTGGATTTCAATTGCGATGCAATGCGTGTGCGAGCCGAGAACATTATCGGGGGTGAACCCCTGCTGTTCATAGTAAGCCCGCGGCGCGCGTTTTTCAGCTGGTCGCAGGAATCCCAGAGACTCGGGCCAGGAAAGATGAAGGGCATGCTAGACTGCGGCGTGCAGCGGCTCATGGTTGCGTGAGAACTGCGTGCAACGCAGATGAACTATTGGATATTCTTCCGTCATGAACGCCCCGCAGAGGCGCCGAGCCGGACCGCGACGCCAATGCAGAGAATGCCGACAAGCACGAGGGCGCGCAGACACACGGTGGTGACCTGCGTTGCTATGACTTGAGGCAAGTTGCACACGGAGAGGAAGTGCCCATCAAGAAATCTACGCGTTACATGACTAGACAACCTGCGTTGGAAGGGGCCGTCGGCGTAAACTGTCAAGGCCAGCATCGACATATTAAGGGAAGGCTGGATGGGGGTCGAACGAGGACATCACGATAATATCTGGGTCGACTCTGTCGAGCTATGCTCGAAGGTGTGCGCGGCCAGATAATTGCCGATGACCGATCGAGGCGCTCCTCCAGGGCCTGTGGCGCGGATGCTAATTGGAGTGGGCACCGCGAAAGAATAAGAATTGACGAAGTCGGGCAGGCGCAGAATCAGAGTGGAAATGCCCGTGTCAACTTGGGCCAGGAAGGAGCGCGGCGCCTCTCGCTTAATGCCCTCGGGAAGTCCAGGGCCGTGCTTGTTCCAGCGCAGAGTCGCGCGGGGCGTGGGCGCCGGCCAAATCCACGAGGGCTGGGCTGTCAGCGAGACTATGGGGAAGGAGCGGGGGAGAGAGTTCAGATGGGGGTGTGCGCGATGTCGCCGCCCGATTCACCTGCCGGGTTGCGCGGGGCATCCAGCCGCGTCGGATTTGGCGCGCGCCGACGCCGGGGCTGGTTGGATGTTCCAGGGGCCTGCGAGGCATGTAGAGGTTGCTGGAGGGCAGCAAGTGATCGGGGATGATATGCGCGCGTTCCTCCGCGACGACGGCGAAGCGCGCGCTCGGGGCGGCGCGCCAGGAAGCGAGCTTGATCCAGGACTCGAGCTAAAGCTCGGGGGGGGGGGGGATGGGGCAGTTCAGGAAGCGCCAGTATCATGGGGAAGTGCGGGTGGAGGATGCTGGGCCGTTGCTGGCAGAGCCCCCATAGGTACAAGGCGTGCTGATATCAGCGAGGGCGACGGGGGCACTCGCGAGCGCGTTTCCAGGCTGGTGGCCCAGCAGCTTTTGTGCAGTTCCAATGGGGGCAACGTACGCAGCCCCCCCCCCCATGGGAAGCCCCGAACTTGATATTCTTCATGCCAGTTACCGAGGGGGTAGGGCGTGGCCAAGGTGGGTGCGAGATGGGGCTCGTGCTGGAGTCTGCGGATGTCATGCGGGCACATTCCTATCCTCAGTTCGCCCGAAGTAGATCGTGGGCAGAGTGTGTCTGGAAGGCTAGTGTAGTCGACGCGAGGCGCCGGGGGCGCCGCCAGGAATCGGGGGGGGGCTGTTGCGTGGACTTTACACGCGTCGTCGGCGCCGTCATGGCGCCAACGTCGCAGAGCGGATTTCGCGCGGAATGCGATTGGGTGGGCCCGGGGCGCCTTGGGCACTTTCGCTTTGGATTTCGAGGTGAATGTCGTGTGGATTTGTTTGGGTGGGGGGCCAGGAACGAATCCAAACGCATTTTCGCAAAATTCATGTAGTTGTTTACTCGTTTCTTCGGTGTTTTGCATGGGCAGAAACCCGCGCGCAAATCCGCTGCCGCACGTCAACAAGGTCGGCGGAGTCAGTTTTGATTGCAGGAAAGCGAATCGGGCCGACGGTGCGCGATGTCGATCGAAACTGGTCCGACGGAGAATTCAAAGAGGAGCTCGACGTATTCATCCAGGGCAGATTCGGACCAGGACCAACAGGCTCACGACCAATCCGGGTACTTCACCGACTTGTGGAAATGAGCCGGGGTGGATTATGGCGCGGGGTGGACCATGGGCATGCTGGGGTGTGCTTCAATCTGCTAGACGTAGAGCAGTACAAGGCGAGGTGTGCTACATCTCAGGTTTTTTAAGGCAGCCTTGCGAAAAAGAACGAGGATCCCCTCCCAAGTCACGAGGTGAAGACATACCAAGCTCTGGCGGCCCAGGTAAACTATCTAGCGCAGGACCGTTCGGACATGCAGTTTCCCGTTGTGGAGCTCGCGCGTTCTATGCCAGCCCAAACCCAGGGGGCATGGGGAAGTCTGGCGAAATTGGGCAAGTTTCCCAGTTGCGTCGGATGCGGTTAATCGTATTTATTTCAAGAACGACCTGGGGAGTTAACTGCGCGGCCCGACTCCGACTGCGACCTCTGCAAGACAACGCGGGAATCGACGAGTGAAGGTATTGGGATCCAGGCTTCGCACTTCATTCAGTCGCGGAGTTTCCAGGGCGTGGTGGCGCCGTCCTCTGGCGAGGCGGGGGTTTTGCGCAATGGTTGAAGATCCTTCAGTGGCGCGAGGACTTTAAGTGGTTCCCAAGGACTTGCAGTTCATTGTGGCATCTCGTAAAAGAGCGACGCACGCGCAGAAATTGCCGTTGCGATCAGGAAAATATTGGGCAGGGTCACGCACATCGACGTCTGCCGGCCTTGGTTGCAGGGGAAATTTAGACGATGATGCATCATCGTGATCCATGCTGGAACACACGATACCAGCAAATGCTGTATAACTGCATGCACGACCAGGGGTGTCATGTCCATGCGCATGAGAGGTGCTGACCAACACTTGGTTAACTGAAGACGCGTGCCGGCGCCGCCACGGAGTGTCAGCATGCACCATGTCCGGGCAGCCATCGCGCACCGCTCTGCCAGAGACTTGAGCTAAGGATCAGATGATCCAGGTGGTCGAGAGGTGGTTTTATTCTCTTGCGCTCCTGTTCCGCGTCGCACCGCGCCCCCTCCTGCCCCCCCCCTCCCTGCCCCTCCCAAGCGTTCCCCAGTGGCCCAGTGGGGCTTCCGCCCAGTGCCCCCTCCGCCCCGACAATTTCATTCCACGCCGCGCCGCGCCCGCTCCCCCCCCCCCCCCTCTTCACCCCCCCCCGCCCTTCCCCAGCCCCGCCCCTGCCGCGTCGCGCCGCGCCCGCCCCCCCCCCCGACCCGCGCGCCCCCCCCCCGACCTTTCCCGGCCCCCGGCGGCCCAGTAGAACCGCCGCCCCGGGGCCCTCCGCCCGCTGTTTTTTTTTTTTTTTTTTTTGTTCCGAGTCGCACCGCGCGCCCGCCCGCCCCCCTCCCCGCCGCCCTCCCAACCCTCCCCAGCCTGCCCCAACGGCCCAGTGGATCTGTTCCCCAGTGCCCCCCCCTGCCCCGACAACTTGCGTTCCGTTGCGCGCGGCGCCCGCCCCCCCCCCCCCCCCCCCCCCGCACCACCGGCTCCTCCCCAGCGCCGGCGGTCCAGTGGAACTTCCGCCCAGTGCCACCGCCGCGCCGACCATTTTATTCAGCGTCGCACCGCGCCCCCCAACCTCTCCCCAGCGTTTCGCAGAGGCCCAGTGGAACCTCCGCCCCGTGGCGTCTCCGCCCCAAAAACGTTATTCCGCGTCGCGCCGCGCGCCCCCCGCTTTCCCCGCCCCCCTCCCAACCTTGCCCAGCGCGCCCCAACAGCTTAGTGGAACTTCCGCCCGGTGCCCCCTCCGCCCCCGGTGTTATCCCGCGCCCCCGCTGCCCCTCTCCAGCTTTCCCGACAAGCCAGTTGCCCCGCCCTCCGACAATTTTTGATTCCGCGTCGCGTTGCCCCCCCCCCCCCCCCCCCATCCCCAGCGCCCCCCAGAGTCCCAGTGGAACCTCCGCGCAGGGCCCCCTCCGCCCCGACTACTTTATTTAGCGTCGCGTCGCGTCTCCTTCCGTCCCCAGCGCCCCCTTGCGTCCCAGTGGAGACCCCCGGCCAGTGCCCCCTCCGCCCCGACCACTTCAGTCCGCGTCGCGTCGCACCCCCCTCCCCAGCGTTCCCCCGCGCCCCCGCCACCCCCTCCCCAGCGTTCCCCAGCAGCCCAGTGCCCCGTCCGCCTTGACGACTTTATTCCGCGTCGCGTTGCACCCCCCTCCCCAGCGTTCCCCCGCGTCCCAGTGGAACCCCCGCCCAGTACACCCTCCGCCCCGGCCATTCCATTCTCCTGCGCAGGGTGTCTAGAGCTCCGACCACTTCATTGCGGCGTCGCCCCGCCCTCCTCGCCCGGCCCCCCCGCCCCTCCACCCGCCCACACCAACCACCACCACCACCACCACCACCAACGTGACACCGCTCCCCGGCCAGCGTTCTCCGCCCAACCCCCCTCCGCCCCGAATATTTCACGCACGAGCCACCACCACCACCAGCGTGACACCGCCTCCCGTCCAGTGCCCTGTCCGCCCCCCCTCAGCCCCGACCACTTGATTCACCAGCCGCCACCACCGCCAGCTTGACACCGCCCCCCGTCCAGTGCCCTCTCCACCCCGCTCCCCTCCGCCCCGACCAGTTTATTTTGGCATCGCACCGCCCCCACCGTCCTCCCCCCGACCCTTCCCCCCTCTTCAGCCGCCCAGTGCCCTCTGTACCCGGCCCCCCTTTACCCCGACAGTTTTTTTCGCTGTCGCACCGCCCCCGCCGCCCCGCCCCTCCCGCCCTTCCACCCGCCCACCCACACCAACTCCCACCACCACCAGCGTAACCTCGGCGTCGCACCGCCCCCCGTCCAGTGCCGTTTCTACCCCGCCCCTTCCGCCCCGACCACTTCATTTCGGCGTCGCACGGCCCCCACCGCCCCGCCCCCACGACCCTTCCCCCCTCCCCACCCGCCCAGTGCACCCCGCCTCCCTCCGCCCCGACCATTTGATTTCGGCGTCGCACCGCCCCCACCGTCCCGCCCCCCGACCCTTCTGTGATTTATCGTCCCCTCTCTTCCCTCCTCCTCCTCCTCCTTGTCTCTCTCCTCCTCCTCCTTCCCCTTCTCATCCTCACTCCCCTTCCCCTATTGTGCAAGAGCCATGGCACGCGCGCCACTTGTTTATTAGGCCCCGGTGCCTTGCAGAAGTTGCAGTGTATCAGAAGTGTTATCTAGGAATTCCAGTGATGCATGATACTTGTGGGCAGCAACTTCTTGGCTCAAGTTCTTTTCCCATCGGGGAACAGAACTCTTAGTATATTGCCAGGGGGAGGAGAAAGAGGAGGAAAGGAAATATGGATGAGGAGAGTAATGGGGCATGGATGGATGGACGAATGGACGGATGGACGGATGCATGGATTGAAAGAAGGAGGAGGAAGGATATTGGGAAGGAAGAAGAAGAGGATGCAAACACAGAGGTACGGAATTTGATGATGCTAATGGTGTTGGTGATGACGGATATGTTGATTTTGCAGACGTCGGTGCTGATGTTGTTGCTGACGTCGTTGAGGGTGATGCTTGCTGCGGAACATGATGATGATGGTTCTGATGCTAATGGGGAGTATGGTGCTGCTGCTGTTGCTGCTGTTGCCTCTGCTGCTGATGGTGCTAGTTACGCTGATGCCGATGATGGTGCTCATGATGGTGATGATGATGGTTCTGATGATGCTGATGATGATGATGATGATGATGATGATGCTGATGGTGAGGATGATGATAATCATGGCGAAGATCGGTGATGATGATGGTCATGGTGATGTTGATGGTGAATCTGATGATGCTGATGATGATTGGAATTGAAATGATGATGATGATAATGATGATACTATCAATGCTGATGATGCTCATGCTGATGCTGATGATGTTGATGATGATGATGCTGATGACGACTACGCTGATGCTGATGACGACGATACTGATGATGGCCATGGTGATGGTGATGGTGATGCTGATGCTGATGCTGATGCTGATGATGCAGATGATGCTGATGCTGATGATGCTGATGATGCTGATGATGCGAATGATGCTGCTTCTGCTGCTGACGACGACGACGACGATGATGATGATGATGCTGATGATGATGATGATGTTGTCGATGATGATGATGATGATGATGATGATGATGATGATGATGATGATGATGATGATGATGATGATGATGATGATGATGATGATGATGCTGATGCTGATGATGATGATGATGATGAGAGGAGGAGGAGGAGGAGGAGGAGGAGGAGGAGGAGGAGGAGGAGGAGGAGGAGGAGGAGGAGGCAGCCGGGAGCGAAAACTGGGGCAGTCGCTGCGTTGGCGCACGGCCAAACGCGAAGCAACGGAGGCCGCTGGCGACGCGCCCAGGGAGCGCGGCGTCGGGCCCGCTCTTTCGGTCAGTGCCAGCGCCGCCGCTCTCGCCGTCGCGCTGCTCCTGGGCATGCCCACTTTATATAGGCCCTGGCCAGCGCACGCCCCCCCCCTCCCCCGGGGAGCGGTCGCGCCCGCCGCTGGGGGGGGAGGGAAGAAGGGGCAGGCGGAGGGCGGAGGCGGAGGAGGCGGGAGGCCTTCTGCCTCCTCTTCCTCGTATTTTGCGCTTCCCTTCCCTTCGTCATCGCTTTGCTATTCCTCTTTCTCCACCTCCCCCTGTTCCTTGTTGTCTTCCCTCGTCAGCTCTGGCTCATCACTCTTTCTCCTCCCTCCTGTCTCTCTTCTGTTCTCTCCTGTCCTCTACTTCCCTGTCCACTCTTCCTCTCCTGTTCCCTACCCTCCTCCTCCTACTCAGTCGTCCTCCCTCGTCTCTACCTCCTATGTCGTCCTCCCTCGTCTATAGGCCACTTGGCATAAAGCTTTGATCCTCGAACTTCGATGCTCACATTTCGATCCTCCCCCCTCTTCCCATCCTCGAACTTCGATCCTCGATCCTCGGGCCTCGCTCTCCGATTCCCGATTCTTGATCCCCTTCAAACCTTCGACGCCCGATCCTCGGACATCCTCCTCTTCCTTCTCCCTCACGCCTCCTCGTCTACGTCGACTCCCTTGCCGCCGCCGCCGTCGTCGTCGTCGTCGTCGTCGTCGTCGTCGTCGTCGTCGCTGCGTTCGTCGCCTCTGCCGCCGCCTTCGCCGCCCTCGGCCGCCGCCGCCCTGGTCGCCGGCCGCCGGCCGCCGGCCGCCGGTCGCCGCCGCCGCCGCCGCCGCCGCCGCCGCGCCGCGCCGTCGGCCCGCCGCCGCCGCCGCCGCCGCGCCGTCGCCGTCGTGTGGTCGCCGCCGCCGCCGCGGCGTCGTCGGCGCGGGCGGCCGCCGCCGCCCGCGCGCGCCGGCGGTGGCGCGGCGGCGCGCGCGCCGGGCGCGGCGCGAGGAGGCGGAGGCCGCGCGGGCCGAGGCGGAGGCCGCGCGGGAGGAGGCGGAGGACGCGCGCCGGGAGGCGGCCGCCCGTCGCCTCGCCGCGCGCGGGGGGGCTCCTCGGGGGGCCACGGCGGCGCGGGCGTGGACGGCGAAGGCGCCTTGGACGACGTGGACGACTTGGGCGACTTGACGACTACGATGGCGACGACGACGAGGCCGACGCCGTCCACGACGGCGACAGCGACGACGGAGACGACCACGACGTAGACGACGTCGACGATCCAGACGGTGACGGCGTCGACGGCGATACGACGACGACCGCGGCGGCGACGACGACGTACGACGAATCAGACAACGACGACGACTTAGACTACGGCGACGGCGACGGCGGCGGCGGCGACGACGACGGCGGCGGCGCCGGGGGCGATGCCTACTCCATAAGTTTTGATTGCGATTTCTTCAATAAAGATGCTTTCCCTTGGCTTCGGCTTTGGTTTCTGTCATACCCGCCCCGGGGCCATCGACAATTGATTTTGAGCGAACATCACGGGCAACGTCAGGGGGGGATCTGCTCAGGGGGGAACGCATCGACCCCCAATCGCCCATTCATCGCCGATAGGAGTCCGATAGCCCACCCCGCCAAGGAGCGTGCGAGTTCGATACCTGGGCCCTATCTCGGCGATGTATCGCCGATTCCAGCTTGATGTTCTCTGCTCTGAGCCGGTCTCCTCTTGACGCTCCCTCTGCGAAAATTGACCCCGTGGGGAGGGGGTTCAGGAGCCAAGCGACGACGATATCGACGACGACGACGACGACGACGACGACGACGACGACGACGACGTCGACCAAAACGCTGACGACGACGCCCAGGACGACGCCGACGACTGCAACAACGACGACGACGTCGACGACGACGACCCGCGCGGACTGACAAGCATCACATCGTCAGATATTTGGGACGGCGACAGAGCCGTTGCTGGCGGCAAAGGCGGCGGCGGCGATAGCGAGGGCGAAGAGGCCGAGGGCGGCGGCGAGGAGGGAGGATGACGACCCAGGCGACGGCGGGGGCGGGAGGAGGAGTAGGAGTAGGAGGAAGAGGAGGAGGGAGAGGAGGAGGAGGAGGAGGAGGAGGAGGAGGAGGAGCAGGAGGAGGAGGAGGAGGAGGAGGAGGACGGGGAGGGGAAGGAGGAGGAGGAGGAGGAGGAAGAGGAGGAGGAGGCCAAGGGGGGCGAGGAGGAGAAGGATGATGATGATCATGATAATCCACCACAGGCGATAATGAAACATACCCCTCCCTTAACCCCCTCTATTTTTCTTATTCCCGTTCAACAGGATTTAAGTGTGGAGATAGGCGTGGAGGCCGAACTTCCTAATCCACGGGGTAAGTTGCGAATAGAAGTTGCCATCATCTCATGTTGACTAGCAACAGCATCAAACACGCTGAGCGTGGCCATGGTGGTCTCACCACACCAGCGTCCGCAATCACGAGAGTGTGGCAGGGCTGTGGGATTCTCACCAGTTCAGTTTACCCAAGAGAGGTTTCTTGGCCAGAACGGCCAAGGACCTCTCTTGCGCTGGCAAGTTGTAGGCACGAGCCTCGAGGTCTCTCGAGTCAGTCTTGTGCCGAGCGCCTGCTGGCAAGTTGTATAGCTACGAGCCCCTTGATCTCTCGAGTCAGTCTTGTGCCGAGCGCCTGCTGGCAAGTTGTATAGCCACGAGCCTCCAGATTTCTCGAGTCAGTCTTGTGCCGAGCGCCTGCTGGCAAGTTGTATTAGCCACGAGCCTCGAGATCTCCCGAGTCAGTCTTGTGCCGAGCGCCCAGGGTCACCATCATCATGATCATCGTCATCATCATCATCATAACTTACACTCCCCGGGAGAACCCTTTAGTAGCCCCTCCACCCTTCCGAGTTTTTACGATCCTCCGGTGATTACTATCGCCCGCACACGGTTAATGATAATGATGATGTTGTTGTTGATGGGGATGACGATGAATACGACGATGACGATGACGATGGCGCTGGTGATGATGGTGCTGATGCTGATTATGATGATGGCGGTGGTGATGTTTTTCTGATGATAAAGATGACGATTATGCTGATGCTGATGATGATGACCCGGATGATGATGATTGTGATGATGATGTTGGTGATGTTGGTATTGATGGGTGTGATGTTGTTGATGTTGTTGATGTTGATGTTGATGTTGATGATGATGGTGGTGGTGGTGGTGATGATTTATGGGGTCCCACGGTCACCTAATGTGGGGTTTCTTTTTGGTCCTACTCTTGGGGTCTTCCGAGGCCTTATCGTGGCCCTCCCAGCCGTTAACTTTAGGCTATCCAGCCCTTGTTTTGAGGCCATCCAGCTCTCAACTTGAAGCCTCGCGGCCCGCCCTTAACTTTGGGCCTCCCGGCCCTTAACTTCAGGCCTCCAGGCCCTTGACTTTAGGCCTCCCGACCTTTAATTTTAGGCCATCCGGCTCTTACTTTTTGTCCTCCCGGCCTTTAATTTTAGGCCATCCAGTCCATCCAGCCCTTAATTTTAGGCCATTTGGCCTTCAATTTTAGGCCATCTGGCCCTTAACTTTAGGCCATCTGGTTTTTATTTTCAGGCCTCCCAGGCCTTACTTTAAGGCCTCCTGGCCATTGAATTTTGGCCTCCCGGCCCTGAACTTTAGGCTCCCGGCCCTTAACTGTAGGCCTCCCGGCACTTAACTTTAGGCCTCCCGGCACTTACCTTTAGGCCATCTGGCCCCCAGCCCTTAGTTTTAGGCCATCAGGCTCGTAACTTTCGGCCTCCCGGCCCTTAACTTTAGGCCATCCGGCCATTAAATTTAGGCCTCCCGGCCATTAACTTTAGGCCATCTGGCCCTTAACTTTCGGCTATTCGGCCCTTACTTTTAGGCTATCCTGGCCTTAACTTTAGGCCATCCGGCCCTTAATTTTCGGCCTCCCGGCCCTTAACTTTAGGTCTCCCGGTGTTCGTCTTAGGTGGAAAACGCTGCATGTATCACCTAACTGGTAGCGGCGAGCCCGCCCTTGAGTCGGCCCCAGCGGGCCCTTAAGTCGGCCCCACGCAGCCCTTAAGTCGGCCCCAGCCGGCCAAGTGGCCCCCAGCCGGGGCTGATGTGGCGCCCCGCTGGCCCTTAAGTCGGCCCCAGCCGGCCTTTAAGTCGGCCCACAGCCGGCCCGTAAGTCGGCCCCAGCCAACTCTTAAGTCGGCCCCAGCTGGCCCTTAAGTCGGCCCAACGTCGGCCCCCAGCCCTTAAGTTATCGGCCCCAGCCGGCCCTTAAGTCGGCCCCAGCCGGCCAGGCCCCAGCCCCGCTTGCGAAGGTGCGATTTGGGTTCAGGCTCACCTGAAATACAGCCCCATCGGGCTCACATTTCAGGTCCTGGCCAGGATATGGTTAAGGTCCCGTGAGTGGTATTTTAAGGTCCCGTGGCTGGCATTTTACAGTCCCGTAGCCCAGAGTTAAGGTCCCGGTGGGGTAAGTTTTTCAGGTCCCGTGGGTAGGGCTTCAACCAGCCGTGGGGGTGGTTTCAAGGTCCGGTGGGAGGCCCATGGAGGGGTTTAAGTACACGGCAAGTGTTAGGTGTCGCAGGGACCCCATAAGTGATAATGATGATGCTTATGCTGATGTTGCTGATGCTGCTGCTGATGATGGTGGTGGTGATGATGGTGCTGCTGCTGATGATGATGATGATGGTGGTGATGATGATGATGATGATGATGATGATGATGGTGGTGGTGATGGTGATGGTGATGGTGATGGTGATGGTGATGATGATGATGATGATGATGATGATGATGATGATGGTGATGATGCTTATGATGATGCCGATGATGTTGATAATGATGATGCTGATGCTGTTGTTGATGATGCTGAGGATGATGAAAATGGTGAGAATGATGATGATGACGATGAAGATGATGATGATGCTGCTGCTGATGATGATGATGATGATGGTGGTGGTGCTGATGATGGTGATGATGCTGATGATGATGACGGTGGTGGTGATGATGATGGTGGTGGCGATAATGATAATGATGATGCTGATGATGATGATGATGATGATGATGATGATGATGATGATGATGATGATGCTGATGATGATGATGATGATGATGATGATGATGCTGATGATGATGATGATGATGATGATGAGGTCGTTGCTGCCCATGATGATGATGATGATGATGATGATGGTGATGGTGATGATGCCGATTAGGATGCTGATGGTGGTGGTGGTGGTGGTGGTGCTGGTACTGATGCCTGTGGTGATGCTGATGATGGTTATTATAAGGATGATGATTATGTCGCTTCTGATCATGATGATGACGAGGAGGAGGAGGACGAGGAGGACGATCATGCTGATGAAGATGAAGCTGATGATGAAGATGATGCTGATGATGATGGTGATGCTGCTGATGTTGATGGTGATGATGATGCTGATGATGATGAGGAAGAGGAGGAGGAAGAGGAGGAGGAGGAGGAGGAGGAGGAGGAAGATAAGGCAGATGACTGCGACATGTATGGGCTTTGAGGGAAATCTCTCGCATGCCGATCCTGGAATGCAGCCTGGATGTGTCATCACATTCCGTACGATAAGCGTCATTGCGCGAGTTTTTGGCAGTGGGGAGGTCAGGATTGAGTCGGCGCCTGTTTTGATTGATCGATTGATGGAGTGATGATGATGCTGATGATGCTGCTGATGATGATGCTGCTGATGATGATGATGCTGCTGCTGCTGATGATGATGATAATGATGATGATGGGGAGGAGGAGGAGGAGGAGGAGGAGGAGGAGGAGGAGGAGGAGGAGGAAGAGGAGGAGGAAGAGAAGGACACCAAGACGCGGTGCCAAGGGGAGGGGGATAAAGAGGAGAGGGGGTGCAAGGTGAGGAGGGGGAGCAGCAAGATGATGATGCTGGGGCGAGAGGAAGCGGAGGGCGAGGAGGCGTCCCCTCCCTCGCCATCTCTTTTCCTCTCCTCCGTCCTCTCCCCGAGGTTGGGGGAGAGGGTGCCGCAGCACGCCCAGAGTCCAGCAAGGCATGGAGGTGCAAACCCGACTTGTCT